AACGGCGGATATGTTGTTTTCGTTCAGATCATAGCGCACACAACGTAAACAGCGTAACCGCGTACGGTGCTGCTGACACAGAACAGCATACGTTGTTTAAGTATGTGATACTCTCCAAAATGGCGCTATAGGGTGAAGCAGAGTCCTCGAATTGTTGAATAAAATCGTTATTTTTGTTTTCTTTGCACACAAAAAGTATTCTCGATGCGTAAGTCCTACGTCATCCCCCGGAACGGCTTGCACGTATGACAGTCAGCAGATCTGATTGGTTAATTGGAATGTTGTTCCAGGATCAACAAGGATGTTGATCCAGGAACATGTTGTACTTGGTGAAATCACGGTCACCCACCATAATGTAATTTTAGCGCCAGTTTGCTCTCCTGTCCATTACTGCAGTAGTTTCCAGGGAGCTCTTTTTTTTTTACTCAGTAATTAATGTCTTATAAAATGTAGCGAAGTACAATACTTCAAACAAAATATACTTAAGTAAAAGTAAAATTACAGATTTTAAAAAATACTTTAAAAAGTAGAAGTACACAAAAAAGCTACTTACAGTAACGCGAGTAAATGTAATTTGTTACTTTCCACCTCTGCATTTATGTGTTTAGGTTTATAATAAATGTTGTAAAATAACTGCCTTATGACACTAACTGAACACTGGTGTCGCAAAAATAACTGACTTTCTCTCGTCAATGTCAAAATGACAGAGATGGCCAATCAAATTTATCAAGGCAGGCATTACCTGCTTAAAGGGGTGTACAAAGTACTCAACTTATACTTAAAGTAGAGAATTTGATATTTGACCAAAAACATAGGCCTACTAATAAAACTAGTAAAGTGAGAGAGACAGAAAATATTTCTAAACCGTTTGAGCAAACAGGAATAACATGCCATATGAATAAAGTACTGAACTGAAAAGATCTCCAGTGTGTGTTATGCAAAATGCCCATGACCATTTCATGGACCACATCCACATCCCTGACCTTGGCCGCTTCCCTGATCGCCACTTCCCTGACCTTGGCCACTCCCCTGACCACCACTTCCCTGACCTTGGCCACTTTCCTGACCACCACTTCCCTGACCTTGGCCACTCCCCTGACCACCACTTCCCTGACTATTGCCACTCGCCTGACCACCACTCCCCTGACAACTTCCCTGACCTTGGCCACTCCCCTGACCACCACCACAAATAAATTGATTTTATTTGTTATAGTATAGTATGGATTTTAATAGTTATCCAACATAGTTCAACGATTTGGTGTTTCCCGAAACCATAGTTCAAAAGAACATTCGCAAACAGCGTCGCAAATTTATGTGGTAGGAACTACAGCCCTCGACCTGTGGTTAGAAGCATAGTTTCTTGTTCATAGAAGCATAGGGATATGCGACCGAGTTCGGGAAACATTCGTGACTGGCTAGTTAGTTTCCACAACAATGCATCATGCTATGGTGGTTAATCAGTGAGTTACGTCGTTGTACGGGAAACGCACCCCTGGGCTGCATTTCTCAAAAGCATTGTAAGCCTAAGTAGATCGTAAAAACGATTGTACGACTGATCTTGAAAAACAGCCCTAAATTGTTGAACTAATGTGGTTCAAACGACGGATATGCGACCGAGTTCGGGAAACATTCGTGACTGGCTAGTTAGTTTCCACAACAATGCATCATGCTATGGTGGTTAATCAGTGAGTTACGTCGTTGTACGGGAAACGCACCCCTGGGCTGCATTTCTCAAAAGCATTGTAAGCCTAAGTAGATCGTAAAAACGATTGTACGACTGATCTTAATATTACGGTCTGTTTCCCAAAAGCATCGTAACTTAAGTAGCACTTGAAAATCATCTCAGATCTACGAGTGCTCTGGAGTAACCGTAAAGCCCAAAGTGCATCATAAGAAGACAGAGTTATGAGGTGACCTAGAAGAAATATAGAGCTAAGTATCATCAGCATAACAGTGAAAGCTAACACTATGTTTCCTGATGACATCTCCCAAGGGTAACATGTAAAGCGTGAAAAGTAATGGTCCTAGTACTAAGCCTTGTGGTACTCCATATTGCACTTGTGATCGATTTGATACCTCTTCATTCACTGCTACGAATTTGTGGTCAGATAAGTACGATTTGAACCATGCCAATGCACTTCCACTAATGCCAACAAACTTTTCTAGTCTATTGAAAAGAATGTTGTGGTCGATAGTGTCAAATGAAGCGCTAAGATCCAGTAGCTCGAATAAATAGATACAACCACGATCAGATGATAAGAGCAGGTTATTTGTAACTCTCAGTACTATGATAGAGTCTAAATCCTGATTGGAAATCCTCACAGATACCATTTTCAGTGGTTCAACCGTAATTTTACGAAGCTGCGAGAATAATTTTTGTGTGCAAAGAAAACAAAAATAATGACTTTATTCAACAAATCTTGTCCTCAATAATCTTCAAGAGCCTTAATAATGTTAATAAAAAAAAACAACAACAAAAAACCTGAAATTGTAAATTGAACATGAACATAAAAAAAATTAATCGAATAAATAGATACAACCACGATCAGATGATAAGAGCAGGTTATTTGTAACTCTCAGTACTATGATAGAGTCTAAATCCTGATTGGAAATCCTCACAGATACCATTTTCAGTGGTTCAACCGTAATTTTACGAAGCTGCGAGAATAATTTTTGTGTGCAAAGAAAACAAAAATAATGACTTTATTCAACAAATCTTGTCCTCAATAATCTTCAAGAGCCTTAATAATGTTAATAAAAAAAAACAACAACAAAAAACCTGAAATTGTAAATTGAACATGAACATAAAAAAAATTAACATTTGTGACCTGTGCTGGCAAAATGAGTCACAATGAGCAAATTTTCAAAGATATGTTTTTTTATTGTCCATTAAAAAAACCTTCAAAATGATGTATGATTTGTTGAAATGGGACGAAAAATGACTGAGCTACACCCGTTTGAAATCGATAGAGTCAGCAAAGTAAATTTAGAGAAAAACTGATTTAAAGTTTTCTGAAGGTTCCAAAGCAAAATCACCTAGCAACATTACATCTTTTCCCCCACTTATTTTCTTAATAATCATTACTAGATTAATAATCACAATATATTACATATCACAATAGCTATTTTTTATTTTATCTTTGTTGTTATAAATAAGAACCGATGCAAATAAAAATAACAAATATAAGAAAGAAACAAGTGTATAGTTTATTACTTTTTTCATTTTACATCTAAACATAAGCATTCAAGTAAGAAAAACAAATAGTAAAATGTAAAAATAACTTAAAGGGGTCATCGGATACAAAATTCACTTTTACATGTTGTTTGAACTGAAATGTGTCTTGGCAGTGTGTGTACACAACCACCCTATAATGATAAAAATCCACCCACTGTTTTTTTTATTGTTTTTTTTAATCCCAATAAATCCAAACCTCTTTCTCATATCAAGCTGTTCACAGATTCTTGGCAGAATGACGTAGTTCTGCACAGGCCCCTCCCACGATTGTTGATTGACAGTGGCGTCAGTCTTTGGTTTTATCACAGCTCCGCCCTGAGTGAGCTGTCATCGGTCCGGCATTGTTTCGACGCTGCAGTGGTT